TAGTGTTTTCTCGTTCTCCTTTGTTGTGTTTTGCAAATACTCGAAAAAGCTGTGGAACAGGCGCTTTAGGCAAATGGAGGAAGAAGGCTTGATTTGGGCTGAACGGCTATGTGTGAGCAGAGCTGAGTCTGAAGACTTCATCCCTATGCTCACCTACAGTCAGGATTCGTGGGCAATGACTGAAAAACTTCGATCCCGGCGCATACGGCTGAAATGTGTCTTCTGAGTCGAATCGCTGTTTGAACCGTCTCGATATGGTGCAGAGTTCAGGTGTCCAAGGGAACCTTGATCTGCAGCTGTTGTTGCTAGAGGTTGAAAAGTCGCAGCTGCGATGGTTTAAGCACGTCTTGCGGATGCCTCCGGAAAGAAATACAAAACCGCCGCTACTTGCACAATACGATTGGTCGAAGACCCCACTTAGGGCTAGAAATGATTTTGGGTGACTGCTTCACCGGCCGCTGCTGCACTCTCGGGTGACCCTTCTGCCGAGGGTCTAACATTGGCACCGGAAGAATAACTTTGGACACATTTCCTGTGTTCCAGTCTCCGTTATCAGAAACGACTGACCCAAAATTGATAAATAGTGGAAAATGGATCAGAAAACAATAAATTCATATAAATAACCAGTAGTTTTATAAAAGCGATCATGCATATTATCGAATGAATGTGAAGAAATATTGCGATATATGTGATGTAAGATGATAACATGTTATGTATGATGCGTTTAAATTTTCCAGTGGATTCCTTTCTGATTATGTTAAGTGCGTACGTAGTGTTTACGTTAGCGTTAGTAGCGTTCGCTTTTTCAGGTGTGCATTCTGACGTTTCGTCTGCGGGGCGTTCAGTTCGACATGTTGTCCAAAGCAGATGAGTGCCGAATCAAGATCTGCATTCCCTTTGCCGAGGTTACCGAGTTGAACCAGATCTGCTTGGAGGAATTCCATCGTATGCTGTCCATCAGAGGTGAGATAACATGTAAGATAAAAAGTCTGTCATAATCATCGTTGTCTATGCAGATGGGTCGTTTTGGCAGCTGAATTTCCCGGTCTTATATAACGTTTTTATAAATTCATTGACAAAAACCTCAAAGCCTGTGTCCATTTCTAAAAACCTTCTATTATATAGTTGATTCTTTTCAGGAAGTTAATCACTCACTTTTAACAAGAGGACTCAGGATCTGATGATGTTTCATGGATTCCATCTACAGATGGAGAAACGATACTTTCCCTGTTCACTTTGATGGACCAAACGTGAATTTCTGCATTTGACATGCTTTGTTTCATTCTCAGTGTAGTATACAGCAGCAACTATGTGACGGTTAATTCAGAGATTTTCGGCTCATGGTCCCTATGTGTTTAGTCAATCCAGAGTGAACTTTATCGTTATGCCCTTATTACTGTTAGAAACCGTAGAAACTATAAAATGACTTTATTAATATTGCTTGTAACATAGTAAAATCTCAGCGACGAAACGTATCGACCTTGAGCTAAAAGTTACAATCTTTTCTCATTTGGATGTCAGGAAAATAATCAGTATAAGATGACGATGCGTTGCATATTATGTAGTATGTCGTATTACGTGGTTGAGTTTTGTTTTCATTTCAGACACGTCTAACGCGGGAGGTGCTTCAGTTGAACAGCAATGTAGACAATTTCCAATTAAAATACTTTTGACGGCTCCGAACTCGAACTCCGGTTCGATGGAAGCGCTGTTCTCCAACTTGCGGTTTTCCATAAACAGCGCTAACTTGGCGAACTTATCTGCCTTTCTGCAGGACAGTCGTCCAAGGAAGAATGTCATGCCGATCAGCATCAAGTTCAGCAACGTCCAGATGGAAGTTACTGACCCGATTTTTCCGCCGTTCGTCATAGCCCTTAACTCAGGGTCCCTCGTTCAGGGAACTTCGTCGTAAATGGCAGTGAGGCGTTATGCTTCGTTTTACCCACCCTCATGATGCTGGACGTTTCTCGTTTTTTGCGTGATGTCGTCTTAGTGACTAACTGAAGAGCTAGGAACAAACTGTGATTAAATTTTTGCGTTTTATGTCAGTGATATTATTTTTATCCAATCATATTTCTTGTGTTAGCTTTTGTTTTCATGTTTGCGTTGTTTAATTCAATTTTTGTAATAGTCAAACAAGCGGTTTGCTTTTTACCTTACGCATTGACTTTCTTTTTGTAGATTAGCGTTCAGGTGTCTAATGAATTTTATCAATTAATCACTTTCCTTTAAAAAAATACAGAATATGCGTGCCATAAAGCTGGGCAGAAGAGTACCACACAGGAGGCTGAGGAAAAGGGTTCACGTCACCAATTTTGGTTTCGTGCAAGGTATATTAACGATAGAAGCCAATTCTTAACATTGTTATCCTTCCTAAAAACGGATAGGGGACGAAGCGATAACATTTGTATGACTTTTCTAAACTTGAAAAGGATTATACGAAGGAATTCGTGAGAAAGAGGACTAACGTCCTTCCCAGTATAATATTTTAGGCTCACCAAACATGTACAATGGGGTTAGAAGCACATATATGAAACAGAAGAATTCAATTCAGCTGCTTTCGTTTGTGTGACAGCTAGAATGTCACCATCGAGCTTATTCAAACGAATTAAGGGAACAAGTACTGTTGTTTGTGATAGGTCTTATAATAGCATAAGCTTCTTGACCCATCTGACTGTTTTTTTCGCAGTTTCAGCTCTAGATTAAAACAGTCATGCTTTTTCAGTTCCCATGATTGTTCTGAAGTTGTGGGACAGTTGCCTCAGTATGCTTATCCATCGTTTCTGTCCCCTTTCAACAGAACATCGCAACAGGTGACAACTCCAGGGCTTCAGTGGAATCAGCATTCTAACGGACCGTTGCCCATGCTT